GAAGCAGGCTTCCCGCCGAGCAGGGAGCTTGACGCAGGGCTCGATGCCAGGACCCAGAGATAGGGTCTCTGGACCCAAAGCCCACGCAGGTGCCCCAAGAATAACATAGAGTTTTTTTAGTAATTACTAGCCAGTTTACAGTTATAGTCAAGAGGCTTCAAGCATACTTAGGGAAGGACATCTAAAATATGCATTTTATTTAAAAATTTGGATTTTTTCAGTAGTCATATCCTAAAGGCAATGCTGGGAGGTACATCTTGTTCAGCCTGTCCCAAGTCTCATTAGATGTGTGACATTGGATTAGTGTGACACTGGATTGGTGTGACTTCAGGTCATTTTTCTCTGTGTTCCTCATCAGGGAAATGCAAATACTAAGACCAAAGAATCACATAGCACATACTATAGGCCAGGTAATGTTCTAAGAACTTCATGTGTCTTAACTCATTAAGAATCACAACAGCCCTGGGGCGCCTGGATGGCTCAGTCGTTGGGCGTCTGCCTTTGGCTCGGGTCATGGTCCCGGGGTCCTGGGATCGAGCCCCACATCGGGCTCCCTGCTCGGCGGGAAGCCTGCTTCTCTCTCTCCCACTCCCCCGCTTGTGTTCCCTCTCTCGCTGTGTCTCTGTCAAATAAATAAAATCTTCGAAAAAAAAAAAAAAGAATCACAACAGCCCTAAGAGTTGGGCACTTAGGGTACTCAACGTGGCACAGCCAGTGGCTAATGAGATTTGAAGCCAGAATCCCTGTTTCTAGAGTATGTGTTTTTAATTATTATGCATTACTTTTAGAATAAAAAAACCTGAAAAGTACCTAGTACCATACCAATGGCATGTGTTCTCACCACTAAAAAGCCTTTAATAGGTGATTTTTCTCCCAAATAGCCCAAGAATAAAGTTCTATGGAAAATAACCTTATATGATGGTTGCACAAATTGGTACATTTGCCAGAAATCATGGAATTGTAAAAAAAAAAAAAAAAAAAGGTAATAGTTTCATAAGTGTTTGAAGGTTATGAGAATACACATAAGGTATATAGAATTCAAACCTGGATTTGGATTCTATTTTCCCAATTATAAGTGAAATTTAGACTGATTAGATATTTTTCCTTCCCAAAGTTTTAAATGTCTAATCTGATCATTCCTGAACTTGGCCAGAGTTGTCACTAAGCCTGATTCCATTTATATTTCCCTGAAATTGAGGCCTCACCATGGCTTCTGACAGATAGGTATTATAAAATTAATATTTTTAGAGTCTTTGTGTTTTAGGATGATAGCATGTGTATGGGTCTAAATAGAATATTTGAGAACTAAGAATATTCTAAATCGGTGTTTCATGCTGTCTTCTAAAGCATGAGATTAACAGGGGATGTCCAGAAATCCTTTACCTATATGCCCTTTAAAATAAAAGCAGCGGTTGACGCACCAGTTGTTACATGATACAACTGAACCATCCTCAATTTTACAGTCTATCACGGTCATTCCTACCTATCCACTCACAATGCATAACATCCTTTTGGTTTCTGAGAAATATTGATAAGCTCTCTTTCACTACTCCCCAGGGAACTATACAGTTGATGACTCAGGAGAGTTGCAAGTGAACCACTTAACACTGAGTCTTTCCCCTGGGAATGTACATTGAATTTATTACCACTATTATGTATTTACTTTTACTACACTTACCTATTAGCAGAGATTTTGGT